GGCCAGGCTGGAAGGTGTCCCTGCCCATGGCAGGGGGTTGAAATGAGATGAGATTTAAGGTGCCTTCCAACCCAAATGGCTCTTTGATCCTGTGATTGGTGTGACACTGGAGTTCAGCAGTGTCAAGTTTGAGGTGGACATGCAGAGAGGAAATGGGAAGGGTTTGGGTGTCCTCAGTGAGGGGCCGGACAGGAGCCTGAAGCCACAGACAAGCAAATGCCATGCTCAGCATTTTGTCAGAGGCACGTGTAGGAACGCCCCTGGAGAAGGCACCAGTCAGGCTCCAGGAGTTCTGCCTTCAATTCCCATCACTACAGCAGTGAAAAACGGATTTGACAGAGGACTCTTGTTTCTTCTCCCAGCTCTGGTGTGGTTGCCCCGGGTTCGCCCAAAGCTGCCGATGCGGCAAGTACACGCAGGAAATTATCTGAAGTTAGACTTTCAGTTTTCCCCTGCCCACTCCAGCTTTTGCCCTGAGATTGTCTGAAAGACACTTCCTTCCCAGTGGCTGGCACTCAATTCTAGTTTCAAACTGAATTGCAAATCTAGATGACTAACCAGCTCCAAGAGAAAACCTCCAAGGGGCATTTGTGAATCAGCAGTCGTAAGGACTCTCAGGAATGCCTTCACTTTTCATAAACTCTCCGGTGTCAAGATATAAACTTGGTGGGGGGCCTGATCCTCATTTGCTGTTTAGTGTCAGTAACAGGAGGACGTTAATTATTTGCACCAAAGACAAAAGTAAATGCAGTGTTTGCCTCTCCCAAGTTTGCATTTTGCAGGTGCTCTCCTCCTTTCCTGTGCAGACAGGAGGGAAAAGAAATCCCTGGAATGCTCTGGAGAGAAAGCCACAGCAGCTGATATTCACAGATGACAACCCTAAAAAGGAGAGGGGAAGCTGAGTAGTGTTTCAGCCAATGGAGGTGATGCACTCAGCCAAGGACAGATTCTCCAGGGAACTGGGAAACTAATCCACTTAGCGAAACCCTTTCAGTCCTCATTTCAAGGCAGGCAAACTAAATTTTCAGCCACAAAATTAGTCTGCATCGCAGTGAATTCACTGGGGTATTGCTTTATACCAAATCTAACCTGTTTTTGGGTGGTTTTGGTCAGTTCTTGTGTTGTCCCAGAAATGACAGTTCCCACAAAGCCAAGTGGCTCCTACATAAAGAGGTGCCAAGTGCCACCTTTTTAAGAAATTTTAAGAGAAATTTTAAGCGTTCCCTTTGGTGTATCCTGAAGTCTACAGACTCTTGATGATGGAGAAAAAAAGACTCAGGAGATACATCATCTGTCCTCTTTCCACATCTGCACCAAACTCCACAACACATGATACACATGAAATAAAACCCAAGTCTGGTGTCCACCTCCAAGACCACCACCAGACCCAGAATTCGCTTTTTTTCAGGCTTCACAAACCCCATGGACTCAGTGGAGCTGAAAACCAGGACTCGCTTCACTCTCATTATCCATACTGATATTTAAAATACGTGGATAAATGGCTTTCCCCACTTGCACCGAGAGCTTCCTCATGTAATAAATACACGGTAAGCACTGGAAAGGTACTGAATTATTACTGTCATTCCTATTCCCGTTTCCATGTTGCCTGTGAGAAGGCTGGCAGGCAGCAGGACCCAAAGTTCAGCACAGTGCAGTTGTACTTAACCATCCCACTCCCTTCTTTTCTTGTCACTGTAAATTCCCTGGTGCAACTTGGTGGTTCTCCAGACACTGTCCTGACTGGCACCACCTCCCAGTGGTCAGTGAGGACCTGCCCAGAGCTTCACAGCTGGTCTGCACCTCCTTTCCCAGCAGCAGCAGGTCTGAGCCTGTCAGCACTGCCTGGCTGTGTGAGGAAACCCCAGTGCCTCGTTGGTCTCACTGAGCAGCACAAGATGCCCGTGAGGATGGGACGGGGGGGATACAGTCCGGAGAAACGACAGGGTGAAGGGTGCTCAGACACCTGAAGGACCGAGGTGTGTGGGGAGGGGGAGGTTGTGCCAAAATCACATCCCTGGAAGGGATTCTGCCCATCATAGGGACGGCAAGGAGCTGCTGGAGAGAGTTCAGAGGAGGCCACGGAGATGCTGCCAGGGCTGGAGCCCCTCTGCTCTGGAGCCAGGCTGGGAGAGCTGGGGGCGTTCACCTGGAGAAGGCTCCAGGGAGACCTGAGAGCCCCTTGCAGGGCCTAAAGGGGCTCCAGGAGAGCTGGAGAGGGACTTTGGAAAAGGGATGGAAGGACAGGACAAGGGGGAATGGCTTCCCACTGCCAGAGGGCAGGGTTAGATGGGATATTGGGAAGGAATTGTTGGCTGTGAGGGTGGTGAGACCCTGGCACAGGTTTCCCAGAGAAGCTGTGGCTGCCCCTGGATCCCTGGAAGTGTCCAAGGCCAGGCTGGATGGGGCTTGGAGCAACCTGGGATAGTGGAAGTTGTCCCTGCCTATGGCAGGGGGGTGGAACTGGATGAGCTTTAAGGTCCCTTCCAACCCAAACCATTCTGGGATTCTGTGATGGACAGCAGCCACTTGTTTGTGGTACCTGAACATCTCCTGGCACCCCCCACCAGCGCTTACAGGGAGAAGGGATAGTCCTGCCCTGGCCTGAGAGATAAAAGCAGGATTCTGCAGTCGGGAAATCACTTTTCTGTTCTGGACATGCAAAACTGCATGTGTCACTATGCCTGCTGTATGTGTTACAGCAGGGAACACGGTGTATTTGGGCAGCTGTAACCCAGATCTTAAGGATTTCTTTTGGAGATGTGACAAACTGCAGCGTATTTGATGAAAGTGGAAAACAAAAATCCCAAACAAATTGATATTGTTTAAATAATACACTCTATTTTATTTTGTCTTAAAATAGTTTAACCTTTATGCTACAGACTTGTTTCAAAAAAACAGAAGGTCTCATCTTGCACCAAAAATATATATATTTATATTTATATAACACTCTGTTTTATTATTATTTTTTTCTCCAAAGACCATTAAATACTAGATGGAAAATGAGAACTAAATAGTGAGTGTTGAGAAGAATCAATTTTTCGTTGTTGTTTTTTTGCTGTTTTTTTGTTTGTTTTTTTTTTAAACTAGAGTCGCACATTTATATTCTAAGCAATGACTTGTCTTCACTATAGAAGATTCCAAGTTCACACTCCAGCAATTCAGGAACTGCTAAAACCTGAAGGGCTTGAGCCAATGCACACTGAGGTCGGTGGAAAGCCCTGCACCGACCCCAGTGGGTTCTGGATCAGGCCCCAAGTGCATTGGTTCTTAGCCATACAATGGCTGACTTTTCTCTTTCTTGCTGAGAAGAGCAAACCCACCCAGGCACATTTTGCTCTTTTTTAAAAAAATAAGTTTAAAAAAAGAAAAAAGAGAGAGAGAGAAACAAAACCAAACCACTTCCTAACCCTAAGCTATCCAGTGATTGTGTTTTTCAGACCACTACCCTTTGAGATCTCTTAAGAATATGAGAAAATGCTAGTGTTTTAAATAAAAGAGAAAAACCTGCATCGGACTACAATATGTGAATTGTTTAAACAAACACAGTGCACAATTGGAGGAAGTTTGGTTAGGATGCAGTTGTTTTTATATATACATGGAAGTCACATCATATACAAACTGGAAAAAAAAAAAAAAACGAAAAACAAAAAACGAGAAGAGTTAGTTTGCTTTTTTTTTTTTCACGGAAGGACTGCAAACGGGTCCCTGCAGCTTTCTTCAAAACTGATCTCCAGGAGCCTTTGTGGAACAGGGAGAAGCAGCCACACTAAGCCACTGTTCCAGAGTTACCCCTACAGCAGGTGTGTGAGCCCATGGAAACGACTTGAGGTGCGCGATGAAAACACCGGGAGGAGGGACCGACAAGAGCTTTTTTTTTCCCCTACTGCAGCGCCAAGGGGCTCCATCCACGCTCCCCTCCCTCCCTCCCACCCCCTCCCAGAGAAAGGAATCGCTCACTAGAAGCACCACATACATTTTTCTGGCCATGCAATAGCACGCTTATGTTCAATGTTTTAGAAAGCTGGAAATTGGGAGTTATCGATCCCTTACCTACTTGTCTTGTAAAGTGCAGTCCAAACTGTTCTGCTTATGGGAAAAAAAGAGATGTTTGTTACTGGCTATACTGGGCCGTTTCTCCTTTATGTGACAACACAGGCAATTCTATTTTTAATTATTTTTTTCTGCCCACAGGTAAAACTGTTGGAAGCCAAATAAATTTTGAAAGCAGCCAGAACAAAAGGAAAGCGGAACTTCCCATGTCCTGACCACCCCCCTGTTCAGCCTTAAATGGTAAAAAAATCTGAAGACAGAGCTGTACAAAATTCCCACTAGAAACATCCGGAATATGAAGGAACATTTTAATTGCACGACAGACTTTAAAAGTGAATAATATCGTCCTGTTGGAAGTCTAATCTTTGGTTTTTGCCTTGAGAAAGGCTCAAAATGACAAATGAGGGGCAGGAATTTCCATGTACACCACAGAAACCACAGCCCACTAAACTGAGTAGCTCCACTGATTTCTGCGAATATTCTGGTAAAAAGAATCTAATTCATGCGCTAAAAACATGTTCTAAAACTAGCATAAGAGGCATGACTTAAAGTCATTTAGGCTACAACCCTGCAGGCTGCAGATTATGAATTAAAAACCAAAAAAAAAAAAATTACAACCTTAGGTTCTGATCTCCTGATCCTGCAACATCTTTTGGGACAGAGTTTTAAGCACTTAAGTGGCCCCACGAGTTTCTGGGAACAGTCCCAGCTGAACACGAGCAGCTGCCAATGCTTTGCCAGGCTGGGGCTTTGGAATTTGCTTGTTTGTTGTTTTGTTGGGTTTTTTTAATTTTTTTGAAATGGTGAGTGAGGCAAATAAGCATCAGGAGAAATGAGGACTATGATAAAAACATTTCTCGTTTCTCCGTCTCCTCCAGGCAATTCTTGGATAAAGGTAAAAAATTCAGCTATAATTAAAAAGGAAAGGGATGCTGGACCTTTTCCTGTGCTTTTGCAATAATCAGCTGCTACTAAGTCACTACTATTACTATTTTAGCCTTGTCAAGCCATGGGAAATGATCAGTGAAACACAGTAGTCAAGTAGACGGAAGATTCAGCACTGAATAAACCATAAATAATATCGAAAATAAAAATGCTTGAATAAAAAGCTGTTCAGTGCATATGTTATGGGCCATTTGCATTAAAGACAGTCCCTCCTGCTGGTAACATAACCAAATCAGCTTGGGTATAAACACTCTTGGCCCAAATTTCGGAAGCGTTGAATAACCCCAGTTCCACTGAAATCAGTGAGGACACACCATTTCTTAAAATCACTGATGCTCACACAGCAACACACTAACTTCTACTAACAAACTCAGTATACTGATAAGTTAAAAAATGTTCTGGAGTTGGGAGGAGGGGAAGGGCGGGAGGGTGTAAGTCTGCACACTGTTACTTCTTCAGATTAACACACGCACGTTAGTAAACTGTAGATGTGTTTTAAAATTTGGTGCTGTTAATTCGGGAGGAATCCCCCTTTGAGAAGGCAAAAAAAAAACACCCCTTTTTAAGTCATACTGAAATTGTACTACATTCTTTGTGGACATGAGGAAAAAAAAACCAAAACGTCGTGACTTTGAATTTCATAGGGCCAAGAACGGGGTTGGGGGGCAGGGTTGGGGAGCGGGGAGGGCTCTGAAACTGAAGGTTTAATCATGAACTTCTGTGCCACAGAAGGGAGGAGGGGAAGGGGGAAGGGGACACAGTGACACGGAATTACAGCAGGAATTTGCGCCTGGTGTCCTCATCCAGGGTGAGGTCCACGACTTCTGGGGGCGAGGACCAGTTCTGCTGGGGAGCCACTGCTGTCCATGGCTGCGTTTGCTGGGCGTTGATGAACTGGGAGCCGCGCTTCCAGGAGGACACGCTCTGGATCACACCTCCCCTGGGATGCACACACCTGCAGCAAGGCAAAAAAAAACCAAAACCCACAGAGGATTAATGCCACCACTGAATTCAGGCACCAGAGTCTCAGCTGAAGGGTTTTATCACTTAGGCATCTGGTTAACATGTCCCTCTCCGAACTGCCCTCACGGGTTTGCCATCTGGGGAGTCCACAACATCTTAAATACCCAGTAAACAAGGCTGAGAGTAAATTTAAACTGTGGGGGGGATTACATTATTTATAAGAAATGGGTTCTGAGAGTGAGTGTAGAGTGACAATCCTTAAAAAGTACGTGCATGGATCCCAAGGATCTTGAAGAAGCCTGCCCCACCACGTGTAGTACCATAACTCAGAAGCACAGTGTCCTGCTGGCAAGCTTTACCCACTGGACTTTTAGAAACAGAAATATTTGAAGTGAGGCTGCATGAGACAAAAAGAAAAAGCCATCTTGCCACATTAAATCAAAACCATGTTAAAAAAAAAAAAAAAAGGAGGTAATGATACTTTCACTACAGTAATTGCAAACGAGATGTTGTTAATTGCGTTATGTTCGATTTTTGTTTTGGTCTTTTTAACTAAAAATTACCAACACGCTGGGAAATGCTCACATTCCCCACTACAGCCCCTCTTCAGCAAAACATTTAAGCTTTCAGTGATTAAATCATGTATTTAAACATAAGCACAGGCTCAAGTGCCTCACTGAAGCAAGATACATAGGTACTTATTTACGCAGCACTTTTACCTATTATATTCATAGCAGGTATGTGACAAATGAAGCATAAGTTAACAGCAATTAGAAAAAAAAGAAAAGCAAAATGAAAGACAGACTAATTTTGTTGCATGGTGAAGTGATTACAAGAATTTACAGGAGGCTCTAGGATGATCACTCCATTTCCAGCTGTAAATCTTACACAGGCACCAGTAAAACGCGATACCTAGTGCTCCAAAAATTGTTTTGGTCCTGTCTGCACAGATAAATATGAGGCGTTCTGGCTGCTGGGGTAACCTTCTCCCATTTCTTTGTGCATTTCAGGAACTCTAACTTTCTGCACTGATCCAATATCCCTGACACTGACATTTTATTTATTCTAATTTAAGATTACGGTATTTATTCTCTCCAAAACTACTTAGGTGATGCTCAGCTTTCTTGGTTCTGGTTGGAGTTTTGTGAAATAGAATGAAAAATCTCATTCTCTGAGCTGTAACTTCTCTGAATATAAATGTCTCGTTGCCTTCTCAGATGTGCTGTTTAGTTTTAGATGTGGTGTTTGGAATGGCTCCTTTATAGCTTCTTCAGTCTTAAAAATACATACTCAAAAGTATACATCTACAAAAAGCTAGCAACAAGAGATTGGAACTCTGAGAAATGTATGGGATTTCTTTCTTTTAGAGCTTTCTTAAGAAGAAATACTTTTAGGCATAACTGACAAGAAAAGGTTGTAGACAAAGCAAATTAAATATGATGTTTGGTGTCAGGGACTACAGTCCATCACTCTGAGAACAGTCCTCAATGCTTAGGCAAAGCTAAGACTAACTTTTCCTCCTGAAGATGACAAAAACCAAGCCATAAATTATCTCGTAGGAATGATGTCTCGCGAAAACAAAAGTGTTTATCCTCAAACAAGTCACTCAAGCAGCCAACAGCAAAACGTTCAGTCAGACACGAGCTCAGGGAACATGCTTCCAATCTGCAGTTAAGGGGGGGGGTACCAAGTAAAGGCAACCAAAAAAAAAAACAAACAAAAGGGGATAAAAAAAAAAGCCCTAGGAAAAAAAAAAAACAAACAAACCAGAGGAAAACTGTTTTATACACATGCACGATTAAAAATTAAAATCTAACTGGAGAAAAAAAATCCAACGAACCGAAAAGCATGACTTGGTGTCCTAAGTAGATGCCAAGTAATAATATTCCAGTGATGAGAAACAGCACCAATTCACTGACAATCTGAAAAAACTACAGAAGATGGACAAACCCCAGGGTGTCACGACTCACACCAGCCCGACGACAACACAGAGAACGGAGCACAATAAAAAACCAGCAAAAGAACAGAGCCCAAACACCACACTAACTAAGCATGCAAAAAATACTGATCAAAAACCTAAACCTTGTCCAAACGACAAGCCCATCAATACTTCATAACTGCAAGCCTAGACCTGCAAGAGAAATAAAACTCTAAACAGGATTCGAACAACCGAAACGTGTGAGAATTCACTAGTCCGTGAGAGATGAGAGGTGGGAGAGGGTTACAGGAACAAAGAAAAGCACAGAAGTGTCCTTTTAGTCCAATCTGCTGAAACTATTTCAGTCCATATCTACTAGAACTCATTTTTAACAGCAACTCCGTGTTTAGTTCTTCCCATTCTGTACATGGTGAGTGTTATCAAGGCAGCAGCATGGGAAGCTCTCCAACAAAGGACTGCAGCTGGCGGCTTATGTGTGCACAGTGCCAGGCAGATTCACACCAACTAGTGCTGGAGGGCAAGTCCACACCCCTTTATCATTAGCACAGAGATCCTCCGAGCCCTGGGTCTGCTGGATAAACAGCCCAAGGAATTAGTATCTTCCAAAAGAGTTGGCCTCGCGAGGACTTTCACTGTTCTAAAAGCAAAGATTAAACCTCTTCTCACCTCAGGACCCGAAAACTTCCCTTTTTCACATCCAACAGCACCAGGCTGTGCCCACACCATCTTTACATTTCCTGCACGGGAAACTGGGTCCTGCACACCTTCCTTCTTCTTTCCTCAAGGAAGATGCAGGGAAGGGACATCAAGAAACAGCTCTTTTCTTGTCCTGGCTCTGTTCCTTGTCCCCCTTCTGCCTCCAAGCACCCTCCAGGCAGCAGACCAGTTTGTATACTGTTTTATCTTGCTTTTAGTCCACCAAATTCACAGTCCACTTTATATGAAAAGGCCAGCCTTGTTCAACTACTTCATAATACCTGAAGCCAAGGAAAGATCATAGACTAAAGATGAAGAGCAAGGGCAAAAAATGCCAACCAAGAATAACAGCTGGAGCCCAGCTGGACAGGTTTCCAGCTGAGTTTGAGAGAAACCTCTGGCACCCTTACCCTCATCGGCTTTGGGGATTTGAACTCTCTTGTATCTGGAAATAAAAGCAAGATTCATAGTCATCTAACTTTTAATCTAAAGGGGATATCTTGTGACACCAACCTTGAAAAATTCATATTGTTTTTACAACTACTGATTAATTAAGCAAAGTGGAAGCTGATAAAAAACTTCTTATTTTGAAAGGAAACAAGAACCCACATAAATTTTTTTTTTGCACGTTCACATATTCCCTTAAAATCTGAATTCCTGATGTATACGTACATTTGGTATCTCAATATCTGGTATTTAAATACTACGTACCTTTAGCCAGTTAATGTTTGACATCAAACATTATCAAGTATCAAAGATATCAAGATATCAAAGATACCTGAATACTTATCAAGTTGGTCACGTTCTAAAGAGAAACACATTCTGACACCACCGTGACCAGCAGAACAGAAGAAACAACTGCAATGTTTGCCACCTTTTGGGGTATTGAAATAAATATTAGAGCAATAAAAAATAATTCATACCTGGCATGCTCCTGAACTCCAACAATCTCTACTTCGCTATCAGAAGAGGCAATATTAATTTCTTCATTGGCCTGGGCGTTACCAGAAGAGGTTATGTCACCTGCAAGGAAGCCTGGGTCCAAACAACCTGTGGACGGGGAAAATGGAAATACAGCCTATGTTTAAACAGCTTACACAGCTCAGAAACCACTGGAAAAGGAGTTTCTCAACCTAACAACAAAAACAAACAAACAAACAAACAAAGGGACAGAAACACTGAGATTGGAAAATCTTATTAGACCAAATCATTCAACTTCCAGTTCATCATCACCCGATGCACTAAATTTAACCAGCGTCAACAGCTCTGGTGATGGTGTTATGACACAAATGTGAACAAAGACCGACTGTTCTTGATGCAATTAGAATTTCCAGATGCAATTTTGTAACAATGCTAAGAGTTAGACTGTGCCTAAACCCCTCTGGCTTAAAGATACAAACCAATCTAATCAAGCTCAATGATACTGTGGTAAAAGCAAGCCTATGCACTGGACAGAAACATCACACACATGAAGGAAAATTAATTTATTTTCTTTAAATAGAAAACTAGGGGAGGCTGGTCAATGAAAAAACACAGCAAACCCATCAGTTTCTGGCTGTGCTGCTTCACACATCTGCTCTAACATTATTAAAAATAGTTTTTTAAAAAAAAATCTGTTTTTTGTAAGTCACATATACAACAGGGTCTTTTTAATTACAGTTCCTCCATGCTATCCAGTTCATCAGTCTGTCAAACAACAAGCCCTCTCTAAGTACAGCAAGCGTGGCAGGTTTTTGTCTTTCCTGCCAAGTACCACCAAGAAGGTTCTGCGCCCCAATTAGTGAAGCTGTGTTGAGTCATATTAAATAAAACTTGCAGGGAAAACACAAAGCAGAACAAAATTATTATTTCTTTCACACGAAATAGATTTTTTTAAAGCTCTGTTAATGAAAAGATGTAACTTCTACTCTTTTTTTGTTGGTTTTTGGTGGGTTTTTTTTAGGAAAAAGAGAAAGACAGTTAATTCTACTGTCTATCATTAGCCTGGAGGGTGCTGGGCAGCCCTGAAGTAGGTGACGCTACCAACTTCTTAGAAACCACTTGCTCAGCTGTATTACACAGGGGAACAATCATTTGTTGAGCAGGCAATTTGAGAGGAGGTGAATATTTTACGTGTATCTAGTTTGAGAGGACACATCCTCAGAAGATGAGAGGAGGAGGAAGCAATAACGATCCGCAGGATTTCAAAGGTGTGTGAACATGCAGAACTGATTACACCCCCAGGCAGATCAAAAGGACAAAGAGAGAAGAAATTAAACTTGAAACAAGTGCCAGGGAAACCTTCTAATGACTGCTTTAAGCACTTGGAAAAGACGCCAATTGAACAACAGAATGCTTTGTCTTGGAAGGGACATTAAAGTTCATCTCATTCCACCTCCCTGCCACAGGCAGGGACACCTTCCACTAGCCCAGGTTGCTCCAAGCCCCATCCAGCCTGGCCTTGGACACTTCCAGGGATCCAGGGGCAGCCACAGCTTCTCTGGGCAACCTGTGCCAGGGCCTGCCCACCCTCACAGGGAAGAATTCCTTCCCAATATCCCATCTAACCCTGCCCTGTGGCAGCAGGAAGCCACTCCCCATTGTCCTGTCACTCCATGCTCCCGTAAATAGTCTCTCTCCACCTTTCTTGTAGGGGCAGAGATGCTGCAAGTTCAGTTTTTGGAAAGCCAAGACCCCTAGTGCAACATCTGATCGGGATTAGCAAGGGAAGGAAACCCACGTGCTGCCAGGTATACCTGAAGGAGTAATTTCCACCTCACAAGACAAAAAATGTTTGTCAGCTAAACTTAAAATGAATTAATAGCCCAGGTAGACTTTTCCTAACATTACAGTTCAGCTGAAAGTTTCTTGGCAAATATCACTGACTGCCAGAAAGCCCAAAAATGGGTCATGGGTAATTTCTCTATTAGAAGTGGCTGGGCAGACAGTGAAACATGAAATGGGAGTGCTCAGAGACTTTGATTCACGTGCTGGTGCCTCCAAACTGTCAGAGGGCAGGGTTAGATGGGATATTGGGAAGAAATTCTTGGCTGTGAGGGTGGTGAGGCCCTGGCACAGGTTGCCCAGAGAAGCTGTGGCTGCCCCATCCCTAGAAGTGTCCAAGGCCAGGTTGGACAGGGTTTGGAGCAACTTGGGATAGTGGAAGGTGTCCCTGCCCATGGCAGGGGATGGAACTGGATGGCTGTAATATCTTGTATTAATGCCACACCACCCTTCTGCACCTTTTTCTAGACAGGCTAATTTTTGACAGAGGGGTAAAGCAGAGCAGCTCTTAAACAGCCCCAAGAAGGTATACCCAGAGGTATAAAATTGGAGTCCCAAAAGAGCTTTCATACATTACCATAATTTAAAGTTCCAACAACAAAAAGATAATCAGCAGCAGTGAAACCATGATTAGCAGAGTAAATACTGCAAGATTAGCTGATGTAAATCAGGATTACAGCACACAGACAGATTTACAGCCTCTGGCCATACAAATTTCATGCCTTATAACATGCCCACGCTGTTAACTTCTTTGCACAAATGCTGTGATGACGCCCAAAGTGATGCTTTGTTTGCCCTACAACACCAGGGCTTGCAAAACAGCCCCAAATATTTGCCCATGCACAAAGATGTGACAGCACAGTAAGATTTTTCACTGAGATAGAGCTTATGTTGTTGTTTTCCCATGGGAGCACATTCTTTCGTGTCTGCTAAACCAGATGCTGGCTGAAGATTAACTTTGTGAACAAGGTGCAAGATCTGAAAGTTCTGCTTTCCCAGTGTGCAACCCGAGACAGGGCAGGAAAAGGCCAGGACTGACAAAGGTGCAGTCAGATGTGTACCAAGGCTGCAGGGCTCTGGGGCAAGGAGGAAAACGAGATTCATCCTCTCAGCTGCTGACATGGCCAAGGCACCAGGACCAAATCTGTATGAACACGGCCAGGGATGAAGAATTCTCCTCAAGTTTTCTAGTTTTCTTTTACCAGCCTCTTCCTTGCAAGTCCCCCTCAATACAGGTGGAGGAAGGAAGAAAAATTTGTACCAGCACTGCAGCATTTTAGGTGGAAAGTGGAAGAAAGCTGGGTAAGAAACGTTACTTTTTATTTCCTTTCGCTCCTTTGCAGTACCAATCCATTAGTGCTATATAATACAGGTGATTTCAGCTGTTCTGATTGTTTTAAAAATCACTTCATAAAGGACTGGGCTTGTTAGTGGGCAAACAGCTGCCAGCCAGTTGCTATCCTGCAAAAAATACCAATGAGCTTGGAAAACATAGGCGAGCTTCAAAAAGGCTGGAACAAACATCCAGGGCAACAGTGAAAATAACGCACAAGGATTCTCATATTTAAATTATGGACCTGTCAGCTCCACAGTGATGGAGCATCTCCCTAAGAAAGCCACACATTTGTATTTCTTTCAGCCTTACAGAGAATGAGAAGCATCTCAGAGCCACCACGACACTCCCAGTGTGGGTGCCCTGTGGCAGGACACGTTTGGGAAACACAGCATAAAACACAAACCTGTTGTGGTCCACCACAACAGGAGAGACTGTGTCCTATGCAGCCAAAAATCCTAAGAGGGGTATTCAAATACCAAGTGGAAAGGAAGGCAGTGTGTTGGCACACCAGGCTGTGGGATGGAGTTGATAGGAAATATTCCCTGGTTGTTTAACTCTTTTGTTAGTGAAGAGTTAGGGGAACTTAAGTGAAGCTGAACAATTTTTATGAGCTACATGAAGTTCTCTGGATTCTTCCACAGTATTTCTGCTCTTGCTTTCCTGAAGGGAATTTCTTTGTTGTCTCCAGATGCTAAGCCCACCTACCAGCATCTTTTCACCCTTCATCTTTACCTGGTGCTGGGATGTCCAATTTTCTAAGGGATGCTGGAAATGCAGATGGAACATGGGACCAATTAATGCTTGTATTTTAAAGATATAAAGAGACCTACAAAAATAACAGACATACACAGACATTTCCAATATGTAAAATGAGATTAGGACCATTGACTGGCTGGTGGCATGGGCCACCACAATCAATCACTGAGGAACAAGTTGAGTTCACTTTCACTTAAAAAAAATCCCAACAACAAAACCCCACATTGAAGCTCCCAGTAGTAATTAGAGGGAGAAGGAGGAGGAAAAAATAATTAACAAAATTAGTGTCAAAAATACATTGCAGGAATCTTTGTCAATTTTTGTCAGTTTTATTTTGGCATAAATGTCACACCTTTTCAATAAGCACCTGCCCTGTCCTCTCACAAAATCCACACAGGGAGTTTTTACAGCTGTATAAACCATAAAAATACCGAGAGCAAGAAGGGGAGAGACACCAACTGCGATGCTGGAACAAATGTCAGAGGAAGAGAATTTAAACAAACCTGTATCAGCACTCATTTCATCCAGCAGCCCTCTGGTTCTCCAGGCAGATCCCGACTCTTGATTTCCCAGAGAACTATTGTGCTCTTGAACTACTGCAGCTGCCAAGAGATTGTCCACATTTACCACTTCTGGGTCCGAGTTTGTGTCTGATATATCATAGTGAGCCACAATGGCGGGTCCATCTGCAGGAGAGAAAAGCAACAGGGATTAGAAGTGTGAATGGCACCTCTGAAAGTACAAATAATTTGTTTAAGGATTAATGCAACCTCCTATGTGGAGCTCTTATAGTTTATAGTGATGAATTATATGAATCATTAAACTTCAGTTAATGAACACAGTCTGAGATTACAGAGACATTTTAACCTTTGCATACACAGAAAACACAAGTGTAAGAAAAACACGTTTATCAAAGTATCAGTTATTTGTGTACTGCCTTTTTTACATTAACCCATAAACATCTCCATATGTGACAACATAACATTTACAATCTTTAAAGGATAAAATCTCCAGTTTAAAATAAAAAGTAGTGAGTTACAGGATATTAAATTTGGTAGACGAGGTATTTATCTAGAGAATTTTACAGAAGTCAAGTGACAGGTTACATTATTGTAGGGCTGATGGAATAAAAACTAACTTTTTCACATAACTGATCCAGTAACAATAGATTTAACATTAGGCAACTTTCCTTTCATAACATTTACCTGTCAAGGGCAGGGGAATTTTTCAAAATTGCAATGTTTTTTGGTAGTTTGTTTTGGTTTTTCTTTTTAAGAGTAACAAGAAACAAAAATATATGTACAATGATAAATATGCTTTTCATTTAACAGGATTACCATATGCATTTTTGGCCACCATAATAAAGGAGGAAAGAGGGAGATAAAATTGCTTACGTGATTCTGAAATCTGTTCTTGAGGAATAACAAAAAGCTATTTTTTATCTATTTTGTTAGCACCGACTAAATTCTTTGTGATGAATGAAAATCACTTACAGTTGGAAAGCATGCTAGAAACAGAAGAGGCTCAGAAAAAAAAACCAAAAAAACAGGCAAATTCAAGACAAAGATTAATGAGAAAGCAGAGAGAATGGATAAATAATGCAATTTTGGAAGGATGTGGGTGTTTTAGCTCAAATGCCTTGCCCCAGCTACGGCTTATCGACTCAGAGTGGATGAAAGTGCCTGGACTTCCCCATCCCCAAATGAGAGGATCAAAACTTTCTTTGGGCCGAGGCTTCACCTGCAAAAACAAGGATGAAATAGAAGCCCAGGCTGGGCCAAAGCTCAGCAGCTTTGCTGTTGGAGTTCTTTAACCCCAGGGAGGTTCTGGAAGTTGAGCGACTGCAGGACCTTTTTTGTGTAATACAGGGAGGGTGTAACTTGCAAGGGATGATACAAAATAATCATAAACTAAGAATGTGCTCAGGAAGACAGGACCCTCAGAGTTACAAAGCAACTAAAGAAATCCTTAAAAGTCACAAAGAATAAAATTAAAAGCCTTCTCAGCAAAAAAAATTGGTTTCTTTTAGGAGAGTTAAGCGGCTGCTGCAGACAGAAAGAACACGATGAAATAAAAGTCTCGAATTTAATTCTCTGAAAAGCTGTTCCTCTGAGGTTTTTTTAGTTTGGGTTTGTTGTTTGTTTTTTTTTGGGGGGAGGGGGTGTTTTAGAAGCTTGATGCCTGAACTATAATTCAACTCACTATCTTCAGGAAAAGCCTATTTTGTGGTCAGCAACACATTTCATTAAAGAGTGAGACACTGCTTAAGTCGCACTAAACATCACTTTGGCAGCGAAGAAATTCACAAAATGTTTCCGATCAGACCTGCCTCCAGAACAACGATCCCGTGAAACGATGTTACCTTACAAACGTAAAAGCAGACCCGACAAAAATAAATGAGTAGTTAAATGCCAATGTATTTAAAGACCAACGTGAAACGCTGATGATCGTGACTGGAACGGAAGCCCTGATAATTAACTGAAAGGCAATCTTTGTCTTTTTTCAAAAGGCAATTACAAAATAATGGAATACCGAGTTCGGAGTTAAGCTGGCTGATGTTCAGTTAATTATTTGTGGCAGCTGATGATTAAATTACATGCAGAAGTTACGACCGGACTGAGCCACGAGAGGCATGTTTTCCTTCAGTCTTATCATCAGAGTTCAGCGTGAACATATATAATGTGAGCCATAAAAATAAACAGTCGAGTGCAGAAGATACGAGGGTCAAGTACAATATTGACTATTTGACCATTTTTTTTTTCAGTGGGTTATCTAAAATTTCAGGAGCTCTGGGCTGTTCCTTCAGGCCTTTTTTTCTCTCGCTTCTTAACTCAGATCTCCAAAAAAGCAGAAGCGAAATTTGATTTTTAGATAGACGTGTCTAAACGAGTAAAATTTGTATTTAGACAAAAGGCACCAATAGTCTCAAGTCAAAATTGTACCACTCCTACATGTATAATCATGCAAAAATGTATAATAAATGTATATACATGCAGAGTGATATTCTCATCACCTACCCATAGAAATAACTTGTGTGAAAGTCTTCATCAGTAGGAAATACAAGCATAAACTTGTTATCTGTAGCTCCACTCTTGTATCTTCCACACTTCCAAACAGCACACCTTATAACTTAGCTTAAATTCAGTATACATCAAACAGACAAAAATATTTTTCAATATGATTTACATACTGCAATTATATTTGTCAGCATAATAGCCACCAATTTAACAATCTGTGGGGGAAAAAACCCAAACAAGCTGCCTATTTACGAAGCAGTCACAGCAGAGATCTACTTTTTTGCTTTTCTCAGCCTTGCCCTTCAGGATCAGATTTGGAAATGAAAGGCACCCGACTCCAGGTTTATCCATACCTATCACTAGTAAATGACCTACAAAGCCAAGATAATGGCCATGAAGCTGCAATAAATCCTGGGATTCCCAACATTTATAAAAGAAGAAATAAGCCCTAAATGCTTACATGTGTTAAAAAACAAAACAAAACAAAAAAAAAACCCACACCAACAAAAAAACCCACTAAAATAAGTTGCAACTACAACCAGATGAAAGTTGCAGTGAAAGCACACAAAAAAATATATCTTCTGAAACTCCTCTGTTCCCAAAAACCTGTTTCTTTTTTGAGTGCTACATGGATGGGACAGGAGTGGTTAAATGTGGAAATAAATAATACTTTCCTAACCAACTACGTGGTCCTCCAGTGATGTGATGCAAAGTGAATGTGTGCTAGCAAAAAATAAGGACAATTGGCTTCAGCTAGGAAATAAAGTGAAAAAATACTTTCAGGTTGAAAAAGTAAAAGGATTAACTACAACCAGAGGTGTAATTCATCATCTTTTCTTTGCAACAGAGACAATCCAAATAATTACTGACTGTAACAGGATTTCAACAGATTAAAAAACAGACATCAAGATAAACCATGCCAGAACCAAAACTTAATGTAGAACAATTAGGAGGTTCCCTGGTCAGTAATTTAAACAATCTACTTAAGAAAAATCGCATCTTTTGAGAACCCAAGATAGCTGGAAGACATACATTTCCCTGGTGACAAGCATTAATTCATTTCTAAAGCAATAAATGCTTGAAAAAGGCAAGCCTGAAAGTTAATAAGTACCAGCAGCAAAATACAGCTGTTGACATTTAATGCTAAGAGGGGGAGGGAAGGTCTGCTCTTTCTCTTTATTTTTAAAGAATTCAGAGGGAGAGGTCATCACGGGGACAGCATTTCCAAGTGTCCAAGTCTCCCTTAATTTACTCAGCTCATCAAAACCAATTCTGCTCAGAACAACCGAATCAGGATTCACATGCACAAAAATCCATGTCTACACATATCAGCTTTCATTTTAAGCTTGCAACAGAGAAAATTCAATAATTTCTTATCAGCTGCCTGCTCCCATGCTTTTCACAGAGACGCATCTCAGCACTCAGCAATCTAAACAACCTCGTAAGATCCACACTCCTGTCACCCTTTACTTCATTGTAACGGCAGCACAGGCAAAAAGAGAGGAATCAACCACAAAATTTCAGCCTTAGTGTCAACTGCACAGGAAACACAAGGTATTAGCTGGCAGAACCTGAATGGGGAATTTAGTCCTTGAAATCTATGCAGCCAGGCTGGGAGAGCTGGGGGTGCTCACTGGGAGAAGAGAAGGATCCAGGGAGACCTGAGAGCCCCTTCCAGGGCCTAAAGGGGCTCCAGGAAAGCTGGAGAGGGACTTTGGAAAAGGGATGGAAGGACAGGACAAGGGGAAATGGCTTCCCACTGCCAGAGGGCAGGGTTAGATGGGATATTGGAAAGAAGTTTTTCCCTGTGAGGGTGGTGAGACCCTGGCAAAGGTTGCCCAGAGAAGCTGTGGCTGCCCCTGGATCCCTGGAAGTGTCCAAGGCCAGGTTGGACAGGGCTTGGAGCAACCTGAGATAGTGGAAGGTGTCCCTGCCTGTGGCAGGGGGTTGGAATGAGATGAGCTTTAATGTCCCTTCCAACCCAAACTACTCTGTGATTATAAGCCGTTGTTTCTCTTTAGCTTTCTTATTTAGTCATGCAGTGCTGAGCTCATCACCTGAACTCCCTCCCACCGTAGTAGAGAGAAGAGAGGAGGGAGGTTCAGCCAGGTAATCTCATCCTGGAAATTGCAGTCTGGAGCATCTCCATCTCCCCTCCTTCCCCAGCAAACAGAAAGAGCTTAGACACCGCCCTTACCCAAGACACCCCACTTTTACAGTGCTCAGGTCTGGCAAGATGAACTTCTGCCTTAGGAGCAGAATATAAACTTTGCTGTGTTTCCTCTACAAGTAGTGGAAAAAGACTGAAATCTCCAGAGGACTATCCTGGTTAAAAAAAGTTTCGAAATTAAAAGCCTAATTTCTGTGGTCTGAATTGCCCTTCTGGAGTCATCAGTGACTCTGCAAGGGAGAGGCCACGGAGCCATATTTAGGTGTGAGTATCACCCCAAGCTTTCAGACACACAGAACAGGCACAGTAATAACAGCAGCAATAATTTCAGCCCCTTGTTCTTAAAAAAAGCTTTCCATTAGTGGACCTGGAAGAGCTCCAAGGTGGTTTTTAACCTCCGTTTGCCCACGGGGGAAACTGAGGCAGGCAGAGATCTGCAGCTTGCTCAAGGCTAACAGGCAGAGGAGCTGGGCTTTGCTGAATACAACACTCCCCTCCA